GGAACACTCATTTTCCTGAGTTCAAATCTGGCCTCAGATACTTACTAGCTGTGTGACCCTGGGCAAGTCATTATACCCTGTTTGCCTCAGTTTTCTCATCCATAAAATGAGCTAGAGAAGGAAATGGCAAACCACTCCAATATCTTTGCAAAGAAAACTCCAAATTGGGTCACAAAGAATTATATATAACTGAAACAACTGGACAACAATAATCTCAGCTTCACCAGCGACCCATCTGTTACTAAGTCTCAGCTAACCTACATTTCAGCTTTTTTGCCCATAAATGACTTGGCCAGCTTATCATGCTACTGTTGTTTTGGAGATCAAATGAGATAATGTAAGTAAAATATCTGAAATGTATCAGGCCACATATGAATGTAAGGTAGTATTACTATTATGTACCTTTTTTCTTTCTTCACTTCCCCTCTAAATTCTTTACTTCAATCTTTCTGTTCCCTTCCCCTTTTTGCTTTTTCTGCTTATGCACCCACTGGCTTAGCCCTACTGGCTGTATTCAGTCTGAAGGTTGCTTACTCTTGTTAAGGGGATAGCCTACTCCCAAATTAACAAAAAAACCCTCTATATTCTCATCTACTCTAAGTACAGTTATTCTAATGAAAGCTTCTAGCCATCTGCACCCTGCAGAGAAGCAGAAAAGGCTGCCAAAAACAACAGAATGCTATCAGTCTAGTTTAGTGTCCCTCATCTGTGGCCAAAGAATTTCTCAAGTTATTGTAACAAAACTAAAAACAGAAAGTCATACAGAAAGGCTAGACTCTAAGTCATTTTCCCTTTCCCTGCTGTGTTTTCTGAATAAAAAGGCTATGCCCCTGAATAGTCATTACAGTCATGGGGAGTGCCATGCTGGGGAAAAAAGGAAACAGCTTCAAGTTTCAATGAAGCAATTTCTCGCCTCCCAACAGCACAAGAGAACACAGTTAAGTTTCACACCAAAGAGAATAGAAAAGTCAGTCTGTTGGCATGTTTCCACCTTTAACCAATATACTCTTCTAAATAAGCTATAGTTTTTCTACCATAAGATTCTTTAGACTAAGTGATTTCAGCTTTAGATACTATTCTGCACACAATGATATCTACCTACTTTGCTCTTCTTCTGTTAAAATGCAACATACTAATCAGAGAAGTAGGAGAACCTTAATTCTAGTCCTAGCTCTGCCACAAACTCATTGTATGATCTTGGGAATAAGTTACTCCTCTGTAGACTTTAATTTCTTCTTCTGTTTAAAAAAAAAGAGGAATTGAGAAAGATGATTTTCAAACGTCTATGATCCTTAGCCTAGATTGTATTACATAACCTTCTAAATAAAACTACAATCCAAGTAATTTGTTTAAGCTCATTCTGTGACAAGTAAAATAATTTAATCTTTAGCTTCATCCTCAATTGCCTTAATCAGGCTACAAGTTCCACAACAACAGGAATCTATTTTTTTCTACAATGTCTTAATTCTTGCCCTTCACAGAAGTATCTCCAACCAGTAGGTCTAATTACTAATCAACTCACAGAATGTTATAGCCTGAAAGAGACCTGAAAATTATCTAGTCTCCCCCTCATTTTACAAATGGGAAAACTGAGGACCTAAGAAAGGAAGTGATTTGCCCAAAGCCACATAGCAAGACAGTAGCAGAGATGGGACTGAATAATGTCCTTTGCTTCCCTACAGGGTACAGATGGTTAAAGGAGAACACATGTCTGGGATTTCAAAAAAAAGAAAGTATGCTTTGACTGAAGCTTTGCAAAAGGAATGTTCTTTGCCTATGGGTTTTATACTTTGGTTAGGGAAATATGGTCACTGTTTCTATAGGACACAATGCTTTGAATCCTATAGTCACTCAAAAATAGTTTAATATGCATAATATATATAATTGTTTAATACATATAAAATAGATATAATACATCTATACTGATTTCCATTAGTTACATCCTACTATTATAGCTGGGATAAATAGTGAACATACTACTTCATGGATACTAATATCTAGTTTGGTTTTTTTCTTATAGTTAATCATGACAATTCTTTACCTAAATAAGATAAAGTTTGTTGTCCTAATTTTTCTCATCCTTATGATGCCAACAGCCATTTTTACATGGCCATTCATAGAAACGTCCAGTGCTCTATAAGTGTATTATTTCAATGTATCTTTAGTTATGACTATAAAGTAAAGTTTGAGCATTTGCCAAAGAGAGCTAATAAGTGAATACTAAATGAATTAATTTAATAAAAACTTCATTGTTTATAGATGGCAGAATTTTTTTTCTTTCTCCTAGACATGGATTGATCATTTCTAGATTCAACTTGTTTCATCTGCCCTATACCTACATAAAGGAGTCTATATTTTTCTTCCTTTAACCTTAAAAAACTAGTGCCCACCTCGATCCCACCACCTTCAAATTCTGCATATCCTAAAGCAGAGGAATGGAACTCAGTACAAATTACCCAGATTAAAATGGAAATGGAAAATGTCAAGCAAAAAAATAAAAATAAAAATAAAACACAGATAATGGTAATTTGTGATTTTTCTGAGTCAACACAGATACTCACCAGGAGGAAAAAGGAGCATTATTCAGAATTAAATATTTAACCTTAAATTGTTGCTTATACAGTAACAAAAATCCAAATTCTTCTTTGGTACTTTGGGAAAGCACAGATAAACTCCTCAGGGGGAAAATGATTTTTTCCCCATATAAGAAAAGTGTGAAAATACACATTTCAACCAGCATTTTGATTCAAAATTTCCAAAGTATGGATCTGGCCATGGAGCTACAATAAGTCATCTCTGATCTAGGTATGCTCCTCCAGTGCAACAAGGAAAGCTGTTAGGTTTTGCTCATCTAGCCTCCGACAGTAACAAAGATTAGATAACACAAACTACTCAACGGAAAGTACTCAGTGTGAGAATTTTTCTTTCCCTACTTAATGGCAAAGAGGGTTTTCTTTCTCTGAAGGAAAGAAATGTCCTAAGAATGAGAGAACCTGAACATACCTTACAATCCCAACAATCTCCATAAAAATGTAACAGACTCTTAAGACCTAAGGTGGAACTAAAATCTCAGATTGTAGAGATAAGATTGCTTGACAAGGATAAAACTAATTAAAAGCTATCCTTTTCGCATTTTTTAATATACCTAATTTCTGTTTGTACAATAACAAACCTAGAAAAATGTTTAATATTAAGTGGCTGCTAGAGAATATTTGGGGCAGAGGCATGGGGAGTGGAGTGGGGAGAGAGAATGAAGATTCCTGAGGCTGACAGCTTGTGGATTTTTAAACAAAATCCTTCTGCATTCTTCATTTGTTCAATTTCATCCTAATCCCAAGGTCAGTGCTGGAATGGGACTAAATATGATGGCATTTATCAAGCCACTGCCCTACAGTTTAAGTAGGTACCAAGGTGGAAAGGGAAAACATAACAAAGAGTTAACCTGCTCTACCAACCCAATCTCTTCTCAAAGATGCCGTCCTCTATGATAGCTTGCCATGTTCCACCCAACAACAGCTGCTCATGATAATCAATGTCTGACAGTTCAGAGAAAGCCCTTAATGTGTCGCCAAGGGGCAGTTCAACAGATGGCATAGTGACTTACAACCAGAATCATTAATTACATTCCCTTATTAGTCCCGGGGCACAGTGCTGAAAATGCTTCCTCAGTGAAAGATGAACATTTCAGATAAATGACCGTCTGGTATTGCCTGTGCAACTCCCTCTAGGACTTCTGGTCATTGCTGATTTCTAGTCAAAACGATGCTATTTTTACAGCCGTTTCCCATCTTCCAGGTTCAAGCTGGCTATGAACATGAAGTTCTTACCACCACTATTCATAATTACTCCCATCATCACTGCAGGTAAGGATAATGTACAACATGCACATTATTTGTTTTCTACTGCACAGTCAGATGACAGTGCTGAAACACAAACTCACTTAATCTTAATCATCTCATCTCTGAAAGCCTGAAGACTTAATTTCTTTCCCCTCTATGCCAAGGAATTTATGTCTTCTGAGTTGAGGCACAGGGAAGTTTCCTCTGATCTCTTTATATCACTTTCAATTGGGGCTACATTTACAAAACTGTAAAGTTTAAGACAAATTCATGGGTATGATTAAAAAAAAAAATCAAAACCTGCTTTCCTATGGCCAGTACTTTCCAATAGCCACAGGGAATAGTACCTTTTCATAGACTCTAAGCTCCCTGAGGACAAGGAAGAGTGTCTTCATTATCTTTAGAAACCTGCTAGCATCTAGCCCAGTACACTGGTACTTAAATATGTGTTGCATGAATATCTTCTTACAATCAAGTGAACTGTTGGAGCAAAGGTAACGACAGGTATTTGTGTGGGAGGCTACCCAAGGACAAGTGCTGCCAATCCTTCTCTATGAAAAGGTTACATGGGATGTGGCATTTCCTAAGTGTCAGAGGGGAACAATCCTTATTTTCCCCCCTTATTGATGAAAACCTACCAGGGATAGAAGAATAAGGGTTAAACTTAATAGAATGACAACTATGAAATTTCTGAACTAACAGCACACAGGGCTGGTACAATAAGTAGGTACACTGCTTATTGGTTTTAGCTTGTATATAACACTCAGAACTTTGGAAATGACTAAAGAAACTTGGGGGCACTCTCCAACTGCTGTCTGATTACATTCTTCTATTTCAGCGCCATCTCTGAGGCCTGTATCTCAGCCAACTAATATTTTACCTGAGTTCAAACTGGTATGTTAAAGGTTAGGCTCTAAAATACCAAGAGTGGGAGTTCATGAAGTTTCTTTCCTGAAATCTAAGGCCTGTTCTTTCCTGGCTGTAAGGAAATATGACCAACATTTACAAGAAGGTCCAAACAACTCTGATACCTAACAGAATTTTCCCTTCTCGTAATTTTTTTTAAATAAAAAGGGTTGTTTCAAGGATTATACCCACTGAGTGGTGTGAACTACAGGGAGAGGAACTGAAGGATTCTAGCTCACTTTGGATAGTACTTACTTCTAGTTTTTTCTCCTTCTCTGTCAAAACATCTTTCTGGTTCTGGGTATACTCCACCAACATGCGTGCCAGCTGGCGCCGGTCTTCCAGTTCTGCTGCCAGTCGCCCATTATATTCTGCTAGTAACAAACATGCTTCATCCACTGTCTTTGAAAGACGTTCAGCTGCCTCTTTGTCTAAGCACAAATGTGACCCAAAAAAAAAATTGAGACAACTCACAAATCACATGGGCACGGCTGAGATGACTGGGCGAGGGAGGTCTGGAAGGGCAGGTGGAATGGGGACAGGTACAGTCAAAGGACTTCTCCCCAGTGTGCAAAGTCTTTTTTTTTTTCAAATACAAGAATAGACTTGGATTTAGAGGGAAACAATGAAACAGTTACAATTTGGAAGTGCACCATCATCTAGATAAACTATTTCCCAACTACCTAAGGTGAAAGAGCTCTGTAGTGGGAATCTGACAAAAGGATACCTAAATGCTCTATTTTATAAAAGCACTATGGGAATGCTAACATCCAAACAAAATAGGCAATGACTTTGGTTTTAAAGGTTAAGCTAAAAAGAACTATTCCTTTTGTTCAACATATTTCCATTTATGTTACCTTATTTTTCCTTCTTTAAATAATGCCAGATATTTGCTATTGGGGGCGCGGGTGGAAGGGTTCCAGACCTTTCATTTTGATGATGTAGGAAACTTCTGATGAGGAATTTTCCTCTATTAAGGCAGATCAGCAACTGTTTTGCAGTTTTTAGTCTTAGAAAGAAGTCTGGGGACCTCAGATACCCAAGGTCACAAACAGTTTGTGTCAGAGGCAGGACTTGAATTCAGATTTTCTTAACTTGAGGATGGCTTTCTAATCACTATACCACACTGCCTCTCATTAGAACTACATACTTGCAAGGAAGCAGTATTATTAAAAGCCAAAAGGAGTCATGACATAGTCTACATTTCAATAGATGATTTTTAGGATGCCTCAAGGTGGTATTTTTTGTAGGAATTCAACCTACATTTTGGTAAACTCCAAACAGAAATTCAGATTTCATTACATGAGCTCAGATTATATGCCTTTGACAACAAACAAGTATGCCCTCTGTCCAATACAGTACAAAAGCTTAAACCTTCAGCAATAAGCAGATCTTATAATTCAGTGTATAGCAGATATTTTCTCCCCTCTTTTACCTCAGACCCAAAGATCTCACCTGTAATTTTCTCTAGAAGTGAAACATCTTGGACTTCTTGTGGTAGTGAAGCAATTTTCTGCCTCACAGTGGCATCACCTGATGCAGCATTTTCCAAATCTTGCAGGGCTTTGATCAGTTCCTCGGTCTACCAGACAGAAAGCCAATGAAAGTCATTAGTACACAGAGAATTTCATCTTTCTTAGAAAGTAGTTTAAGTTAAATGAGGTAGAGATAATTTTTAAAAACAGGTACTCCAGATTAGTTTATAGATTCTATCCTGAGAATTCACACTACTCACTCTATTTTCCCATTTACCAACAGTACAGTGTAAGGGAATATATAAAATTAATTTCTGAAATTTAATAACGGCAAGACAAAGGTGAAATTCTACACTATACCTTAAAGATCACATTCCAAATACATCCATGTCAAAAAGAACCTAAGATAATATTTTCTGTTTTGTTGTATACAGTGCCTAGAACTATATTAAGATTACAATATTTTAAAATAAGTTTTTATTGACAGCTTTTCTGTTTTTACATTGCCTAAATTTTTCCCTATAACCCTCCTCTTACTCTACCCACAAAACTGTCTCGTAAATTTTTTTAAAAAATATGTTATATACCATGTTCCATACCCATGGAATACCTCTGCAAGAGTAGAGAGAGATACCTTCTCATATCTTTTCTTTGGGGATATGCTTATTTTTTGTAATCTTGCAACCTTCATTTTTTTTTTAATTTTGTGGTGGTTCTTTCCAATTTAACTTGTTGCTATTATTATGTACTTCATTTTCTTGGCTCTGCTTTATTTTGTATTAGTTCATATAAGTCTTTCCATGTCCCTCTGTATTCTTCATAGTCATCATTTCTTATGGCACTATAATACACCATGAAATTCATATACCACAAATTGTTTCACCATTCCCCAAGTGATGGGGAATTGTTTCCGGTTCTTTGCAGCCACAAAAAGGTGCATAATTATTTGTTGAGAAGATGCACAACAAATGTTCGTTGAACAAAAAAAATTGCACAGTGAATGTTTCAAATTATTTCATGAGTTTGCCCCAAAAAACCAAGAATTCCCATTTTCTAGGAAGGTCACTAATGAGTCACCATTTTTAAGGCTAAGAAGAAAAGTACACCAAACTCATTAGTAGCAAAGAATTAAGGCCCCACATATATCAATTCCATACCCTTCAAAAGTATTTGTTAAAACACTATGTGTACAGGGGGCCTGGGAATGCAAAGAAAAAAAAATTTAAACAATCTCTGATCTTAAGGAACTTACATTCTACTGAGGGTGGGAAACAGGTGAGGGGTGTACAGATAGAAATAAGTTTATAGAAAATAAGTACAAAATAATTTCAGGATAAAATAATTTCAGGATAAAGGGAACATGAGCATAATAGCTGTGTGTGTGTGTGTGTGTGTGTGTGTGTGTGTGTGTGTGTGTGTGTGTGTGTTCAGAGCCAAGACTTGAAATGAAAGCATTCCAGGCATGGGGAATAGTGTGTGCAAACACACTGTGGTAGAAAATGAAATACCATGGAAGAGCGTCCTAGAACAACTAGGCCAGTTTGGCTGCAACACAGAATGTATAAAGGGGACTAATATAAAATTAGTTGAAAAGACAGAATGCAACCACATTGTGAAAGGTTTTTTAAAATACAAAACTAAAGGATCACAGCAAGCCCATAAGGCTTCCCGAGCAGGGAAGTGATGTGGTGAGCCCTGTGCTTTAAGAATATCAATTGGACAGCTATGTAGAGGATAAATTAAAGAAGAGGGAAGGGATTCAAGGCAGAGAGACAGATTAAGAGCCTAGGGTAATAATCTAAGTGTAATAATAAGGACCTGAACAAGAGCAGTAGCTGTGTAAGTAAAGGGAAGGGGTAAAATGTGAGAGAAGGGAGAGTTAACAAACCTTGACAACTGCCTGGACATGGGGAGGAGAATGGGGGTAGAGAGTGGGGAGAAGTGTGTGTGTGTGTGTGTGTGTGTGTGTGTGTGTATGAGTCAAAGAGTTGAAGATGACTCCAAAGTTTCAAATCTGTATGAGAATACTTAAAGTATAAGTCAAAAAAAAAAAGAGAGAGGAAAAAAATGGAAAAATACAAAATGTTTTGATAGATTCACCAATTATAATAATTTCAGAGGAACAGCTGACTTTTTAGCTATTAACCAAATACAAAATGGATTAATTCTCTAATTCTTTATAATTTACAAACATAAAATGTAAATCCGGGTGACCATTTAATTACTCACTCCCCCAACACATTTAAGAAATAGACAAGCACCAGAGGCTTTTATAAGATAAACAGGCATATACAACTCTACCAAAGTCTTCCTCTGATGTCTCATCTCTGCTAGGTCCTACTGAGGTTGAGCAGCATCAATCTAGGTACAGCATTAGACTAACATGCCTGTTGTTTGAAAGATCGTTATCAGAAGGTTGGTCATTAAATGATGAACTTTTGGGCCATAGTAATGAATCTAATGAAGCAGGGACACCACGTGTGCACACACATTGGAGGTGTGGGAAGCAAAGTTTGAAATCCATTAGTGGAGGGAATTCACAATGAAAGTTAAGGACATCTGAACTAATACACAGTATCATAAACAAAATTTACTAAAGACCTAAAATGTGCAAAATACTATACTGACATAGGGATATAAAAGTTCCTAATGCATGTGTATAAATGAGATTAAACTTTTTAGCTACTAATTCCTAAAGAACCACATGAAATTTTTTTCAAAAAATCAAATCTTAACCGCTGCTTTAAATGAAGCATCAAAGAAAAGCTAGTTGTTTGGCACGAAAATAATGTAAGAAAGGTTCAGTAGGAGCTACCCACTTTAATCTTTATTTTTACTGGCTATTAGCACCACCTTGTGGTCATATTTTCAACTGGGGGGGTTGTCATTTTTTAAAAAGATCTTTACAGGTATCTTTTGTTTTCACACTGCTTACATTTCTCACTCCATCCTAGTTTTCCTTCTTCCCAAAAAGCCATCCTTATAGTAGGGATTTTTAAAAAGAAAAAAAATTCATCAACACCAATCAATACCCTAAAAAAAATCTGACTATATGCAAAGTTCCATACCTCTGCAAAGGAGCAGGTAGAGAAAGCTATCTTTTCACATCACTTTGGGGTCAAGCTTCTACATAGTTTGGCAAAATTCATTTTTATGGATTTTTTCAAAAATCTTAACAGTTGGGGCAGCAAGGTGGTGCAGTGGACAGAGCACCAGCCCTGAAGTCAGGAGGACATGAGTTCAAATCTGGCCTCAGATCAAACACTTGGCACTTACTAGCTGTGTGGCCCTGGGCAAGTCACTTAACCCCAACTGCCTAAAAATTTAAAAAAAAAAATCTTAACAGTTTTCCTCAATATCCTCTCCCCTACCTGAGAGTACTTCCCATTCCATAAGTATTTTTTAAAGAGAAAAAAAAAGGGAGAAAAATCAGGACATATGTCTAATGTATTTTAAAAGTCCAAAAACATGTTCAACAGGCAACACCTGAGGATCCCCCACCTCCAAGACAGGGTGAGTTGGGAGTATACTCCCACATCTTTTTTTTCTGAGTCATCTTTAGATATTGAAAAATTAGCAACAATAGTTAAACTGGAACCTACCCCCCCAAAAAATTGAAATGATAAATAAAATAAAAGCTAGTGTTTTGAAAAGACCAATAAAATTGATGGACTTTCAGCTAATCTGTTTTTAAAAAGGGAAGAAAATCAATAAAATATCAAATAAGCAAGATAAAATCATAACAAAAAAGCATAATCAGAACCTCTTATGTATAGTCACATGCTAATAAAACTGAGAACATAAAAGAAATAAAAGAATACTTCAGAAATATAAGATACCCCAAGTGACAGACCAGAAAAAGATCATAAATAACTCAATCCCAAAAAAATTCCTGTTCCTTAGAGATTCACAAGAGAGTTCTATCATATTTTAAAAGAATAATTAATTTTGTTGTTTAGTCATTTTTCAGTTGTGTCTGAGTCTTCATGACCCCACTGGGGTTTTCTTGGCAAAGATACTAGAATAGTTTGTCATTTTTCCTTTTTCAGATCATTTTACAGAGGAGAAAACTGAGGCAAATAGGGTTAAGTGACTTGTCCAGGGGCACACAGCTAGTAAGTGCCTGGGCCTGGATTTTAACTCAGGAAGATGAGTCTTCCTGACTCTAGGCCCAGCATTATATCTACTGTGCCACCTAAGCTGTCTGCAATAATTAATTCCCACACTATACAAATTAGTCTCAAAAACTGAGAAAGCAAGCTCCCTACTAGAATCTTTTTATGACACATATTATAGTCCTAATACCTAAACCAGGCAAGGATAAAACACAGAAGGAAAACCATAGGCCAATGTCATTAATAAATATTAATTTTTTAAAATTTCAATAAAATTCTAAGACCATAGTGAATTATCCAAAAAATCATTCATTATGGTGCTGGATTTATAGCAGAGATGCAAGGACGGTTCAACATTAAGAAAACAGAAAAACAATCAACAATAGTTAATGATATTAAAAGTAAAAATGCCCCAAATCACAAGATTACCTCAATATATGCAGGAAAAAAAACCTCTCACAAAGTACAATATTAATTTATACTTAAAAAATCAACAACAAAATATAGGCGTAGAGGGACCTTTTTTAATATGATAAAAAAAATTTAATTTGCATGACTTCAGATGTATGACGGGTATTATTATTTCTTGCTTTCTCAATGGGTGGGGTAAGGGTAGGGAGAGAATTTGGAACTAAAAATAAAAATTTAAAAAATGAAATAAAACCAGAAGCATGAGATATACTGAACCTTTTCCAACAAATAAGGGAGTAGAGCAAAAATGCCCTTTCTACCTACTGTTACTTGATATAGTTTTGGAAATGTTAGCAATAGCAATAAGACAAGAGAAAGAAATTAAAGGCATAAAGATAAGTAAAGAAGCGATAAAAACTATCCTGATTGCTGACGATATGATGGCAAACTTGAAAAATCCTAAGTGAATCAGCAAAAATACTAATCAAGACAATAGCTTCAGCAAAGCTGCAGACTTAAAAATAAACCCTCAATACCACATCACACCTATCAGACTGGCCAACATGACAAAACAGGAAAATGATAAATGTTGGAGAAGATGTGGGAAAATTGGAACACTAATGCATTGTTGGTGGAGTTGTGAAATGATCCAACCATTTTGGAGAACAATTTGGAACTATGCCCAAAGGGCTACAAAAATGTGCATACCCTTTGATCCAGCAATAGCACTTCTAGGGCTATATCCCAAAGAGATCAAACAAATAGGAAAAGGACCCACATGTACAAAAATATTAATAGCAGTTCTTTTTGTGGTGGCAAAGAATTGGAAATTGAGAGGATGCCCATCAATTGAGGAATGGCTGAGCAAGCTGTGGTATATGAATGTAATGGAATACTATTGTGCTATAAGAAATGATGAACAGGCTGACTTCTGAAAAACTTGGAAAGACTTATATGGTCTGATGCTGAGCGAAGTGAGCAAAACCAAGAGGACTTTTTACACAATAACAGCCACGCCATGCGATGACTAATATTGTTAAACTGAACCCTTCTCTGCATTACAAGGATCTAAGACATTTCCAGAGGCCTCGGGATGGAAAATGCTGTCCACGTCCAAAGAAAGTTGAATTGTTACCACTTATTTTTACCTTCTTTTGAGTTTTGTTTCATCTTTCTGATGGTTCCTCCTATTGGTTTTAATTTTTACTTACAACTTCACTAATGTGAAAATATGTTTAATAGGAATGTAAATGTAAAGCCTATATCAGATTGTGCGCCGTCTTGGGGAGGGTAGGGTGGAGGAAGGGGGAGAAAAACTTTCAACTCAAAAGCATATGGAAGTGATTGTTGATAAATTCAAATTAATAAAATTTAAAAAATAAAAATAAAAATAAAATAAAAAAAGAGAGAAAAAAAAATGAACCCTCAAAACAAATTGCATTTCTGTATTAACAACAAAATCCGAGGAGAATAAGAGTAAGGGAAATCGTATTCCAAATAACTACAAAATGTATAAGGTATCATGGAATACTGAAACACACAAAAGACTTGTAGAGATTCAATCACTACAAAGTGCTCCTTAAGGAAATAAAGAACTAAAGAACTAAAACGGATGGAGGCTGGGTTCATGGCTGGGCAGTGCTAGTATTATAAAAATGGCAATACTATGAAAATTTATACTTTCAATGTTATAGCAATCAAATTAACCAAGGGTATCCTTTATAAAATTTGATAAAATAACAAAATTCATCTGGAAAAATAATAGATCTATAATATCAAAAGAAATGATGAAAAGAGGTCAGGATAAAAGAGAAACAGCACTTCTGGACCTCAAGCTATATTATAAAGGTACCACCATCAAAACCATCTGGCACTGATTAAAAAATAGAGGTAGATCAATGGAATAACTAGACCAAGGAGAATCAGAAACAATGTAACTCACTGGCTATAGCAGCCTCAGCAAATTTCTGTAGTTTGGAGTTTAGATCTTCAGGCACTGGAAAGAAGTGGGGAGGGTCAGATTCTTTTGCAAGCCCACAGTTTCAGCAGGCTATTGTAGTCTCGCTGCTGGGAGAATGGTGAGTGGTAGGGAGAACGGATATTGCATGAGCTAAGTTAGGCATTAGTTCATGGAATTTTTTACTTTTTTTGTGTTCTTGGTGTCCTATGCCACAGAGACAGATGAAATCATTTTTATTTCTGATGCTTAATTTGTTTCAGAAAGGCTGATTGTTGTGAGAATCAGAAAGAAAAATAGTGTAATCCTCTATCTTGTTGGTCAAATGACCTGGAAGTTCATGACATTTTCAACTGTTTTGTGGTAACTGTTCTTTCCATTTACACTGCTGTAATCTTTGTTTTTATTGTTTTCCTATCTCTGGTTATCTCACTGTGTATCAGGTCATATAAATCTTTCCTCATTTCTCGCTATTCATCATATTGGTTGTTTCTTCCAGTATGGTAATATTTCTTACATTCATGTACCATTATTTCTTTAACCACATCCCATTTGAAAGGCACCTACTTTGCTTCCAGTTCTTTGCTAGGACAAAAATGCCATTATAAATATTCTGGTAGGTATAGAACTTTGCTTTTTGTCAATTACCTGCCTAACAATAACACCTCTGAGTCAAAGTGGCATTTTAGTCACTTTATTTGCCTAATTTCAACTTGCATTCCAGAACAGGCATACAGAGTTGCAGCTCCACCAACATGCATTGGTTTGCCTGTCTTTGCGTAACTTTTCCAATACTATTCCAACACAACACTGTACAAATAGATGTCTTTTGTCATTTTTGACAATTTTCTGGGGGTGAGGTGAAACCTGAGGGTTACTCTAATTTGAATTTCTCTTGTCATTAGTGATTTGGAACATTTCTTTCACACAATTCTTTTGAGAATTGTTTGTTTACATTCTTTGACCACTCATCTATTGGGAAAAGGTTTTTGATTTTGGATTATTGTCCATATATCTTGGATATCAAACCCTCAGAGATACTTGATACAAAAGTTTTTTTCCCATATAATTGCTTCCCTTCTTATCTTAGATGCATTAATTTTGTTGTGCAAAAAGCTTTCAATTCATGTAATCAAATTTATTTCTTTTAATTCTTATAACTGCCTCTGTTGGGTAAGAATTTCCCTAAGGGTGTGACCCTGGGCAAGTCACTTAACCCCACTGCCTAACCAACCAACCAAACAAACAAAAAAAGAATTTCTCTAAGGGGCAAATCTTAAGTAGTTTACCCCAATTCATTGGACATACCAAGAGAGGGCCTGCAGTAGGATCTTGGGGAGAGTAGCTTCCAGGGTAATCATCATCTTCATCTTCTTGTATCTGCTGAAAAGTTCGCTTGAGAGATTTCTTCTCTTCTGTGGCTATATGAAAAAAACAAACAACAAACCAAAAAAAGCAAACTAAGTCACATAGTCTTAAATAATATGCATTATTTCTTACATGCAAACTCAGGGCAAAAATCTTTACAAATTTTGAAAAAGATATTTAACCCTTTAACAAGTAATGCTATGGATTTTAACAGTGCACAGCATTAAGCATGACCAAAGGTGGTATTGGTCTACGTCAGTTTAGACTAACATGAAGAAACATCTGCAATAATGAAAAAGTAGAAGTTGTCTATTTAATTCTAAAGCTTCATCATTTTAAAAGAAATCTGATTGAAAAGTGAAATAAAAAACATCAAGCAATGTGACCGTGACTGCAAATCCTGGCTCTGTCACTTAAGTACTTTAGTACTTTATCTCAATTGACCTCAGTTTCCTCATGTAAAATGAAAACCTTGGTCTAGATTATTTCTAAGGCCCTCCTAATTCTAAATCAATGACCTTATAATCTAATTTAAACAATCCAATAGAACTGGTATTTCAGAGAGACAATTACTCTTTACACATAAAAAAAGTTTTAATTGCTGTGGCTTTAAAAAAATCACCAAAGACAACATATAAAAATGCACGAGCACCAAGTTAAGCCTTTCTCAAATATATACATCCTTACTATGTCTTTACAAAATAAGTCCAATTTCACTTTAAAATAAAAAAAAATTACTGAGAAATGCAAATGAAACTAAAGGGTTCAGAAATGAAATAAACTGCCCAAGAGCCACTGAAATTAAACCTTTTTTGTTGACAATTAAAAATTTTAATTTTTCCACATGCTCTAGGTTTTTAAGAGATGTACCAATAACTTTTGAAATAATTATTTTCACATTATGTTGGACAGAAAAGCCAGAACTATTACAAAGAAACAAATAAACTGTGATGCAAATTCACAGAATGAAGATACTATTTAAGTTTTTTCTATGATCCTAAAGATGTGCTACTTGAAGGGTAATAATCTAAAATCTGATTAGATAACAGATGCTAAAAGCCATGGAAAACGAACCTACCAGAAACTATATTCTTTTTCTTTGGCACAGTAGAAAAAGAACTGAATTTGACTAAGGAGATCTGAGTTAAAGCTTCAACTCTGCTGCTCACTTGCTGTGTGACCTCAGGAAAGTCACAGAATCTTTATCTCTAGACTTCAATTTCCATATGTGTAAAATAAATGTACTTGTACTCCCCACCATACAGCTTTATGATTGGTAAAGTGCTTTGTCGGACTTAAAAGTGCTACAGAAATATGAGTAGCTACTATTAACTACTATAGCAAAGAACAGCTAAGGGTAGATTGGAGAAAAGAGGACCATTGTGAATGATCACATATGTACATCTGCACAACAAAGCTTCTTCCACATGAGCATGCTGAACATATCATAAACATAAACTATCGAAAGAAATCTACAGGACCCCCTTATTTGAAAGACTCTCCATATAAGCACATAACAAGTACAAAAGTAAGTTTGTCCACAACTGTTACCTTAGAGGCAGTGTGGTACAGTAGAAAGATAAGTTGACTATGAAGTCAGAAGACTCAGGTTCAAAATCTCTGATGCTTATTACTTGGGAAGTCACTTACCCTTCAGAGGTATCAGGTTTCTCATTTGTAAAATGAGAAGGTTTTCCAGCTTTACACCTATAAACTTACACTACTGGGAACAGCAAGAAAGATGCAAAAAAGGACAAAGCTATTAGCCCTGATAAACAATGAGCGTATCAACCTATCCACCCCTTTCTTCACCATCACTACAGCACTTCATTTTGACAAACCTCATACCAATTACAGTTATCATATTCTTGGACTACATGATTCTTCTATCTCAGACATTGACTGCTTCTTATATGAGGTCTGAAAGCTAATTTAAAAAAATATTTAAACTTTTACTTATCTCTATCTATACCTACACAATAATTTGAAACACCTTTAAACTGGAATGATTGGGTATGTTATATAGTCAAGTAAATCATTTGTGTAAGTCAAGTGTAGAAACTTAACTGTGGTATAAAAGTAGCCACATTTTAAAAAAAAGTTTAGAAATTGCTGCAATTTTTAAAAGTCTAATAATACAACGACCGTACTCTATACTCATTTCCTCCAACCCTTCATGCAGCACAGTGATCTGGGCTATATTAGAAGCAAGGCCAGCAGAATGCCAGTTCTGCCAAATCCTACCGAGATCAGAAAGTTTCAAATACAGGTCTAATAATGAATCAGCTATCTGATCAACTAAGTTCAGAAATGTGTGCCATGCATCACTGCTTTTGCAAAACACTTAGAAATAAACGTTCTCATATGATTCCACAACAAACCTGCAAGACACCACAAGGTATTATTATTCACATTTTACAAATGAAGAAGATGGAAACTTAAGATCTATTAACTGACTTGTCCCTGGTCACATAGCTTATAAATGCAATGGCCAGGATTAGGAAGATCTTCAAAATGCCAGCTCTACAGATAAACCAAATCATAGCTTCAAATCTTTCTATAGGTTAATAGTTTGACCCACAGGATGCCAAATTTGTAGACGATGTTCACCAGCCAGGACACCAGGAAACCAGAAAGAGAAGGGGTATGCATAGTCAAAGTAGATTATAATCATAATCATAACCCTCCCACCTGTCTACCTTTCTTTCCTCTATGTATTGTATCAGAGACTGGCTCTAGCTCTAGACTATGGATATCACATACTTCTGTAAACAAAAGCCCAGTTTCTTTTTGATTAGGTGCCAGAGGGCATTAAGGATCTCTGTGCAGCAAGATAAACCAAAAATCCTAGGATTAACACAATCTTTCTTAATATAGAGAAAAGTCTGCTATTCTATCAGTTTGTGCTCTACTTCTCCTATCTCACCCAACAAATATAAGACATACTCAAAAGAATAATAATCTAGCTTTGGATATCAAAGTTGTAGCAAAGTTGCTAGACCAAAATCACAGCAGCAAACAGTGAACTGAAGTTATTAGCAAGGCCTGTTTGTTCCAACAGTGACAGCTATTTCCAAGTTCAGGTAAAAAAGTCAAGACCTGACTCATTCAATATAAATCTTTCCATCAAGACTACATACAGTAACATTTTTATTGTTTCATAGAATATACTTGCAGATGTACCTCACTTTACACCATAAATGTATGCCCTAAGAGCTGAGTATAAACCAAAGTTTTGCAATGGAATATCTCACAAGTCCTAAAGTACAAGTACCTAGGAGAACTCTGTACAGAATTCCTTTATAGAATGAGTAATATTTTGTAAGGCAGCTCATTAAGTCTAAGTTGCAAAGCAGGTGGTGATCTGCATTGGTTGAGGGAAGTCTGACTGGGAATTTCTTATATCAATTAAATCATAAATCTGTAACCCCTCCCCCCAAAAAAGTCTGCTTTTCTGATAGGCAAATAACCAGTCTATGATAACAGAAAGCCCCTTGGACCAGAAGGCAAAACATTTGTGTTGTAGTTCTGGTTATATGGTAAGTAACCATTTCTTCAGTTTCATATTTCCCTTATCTATAAAAAGAGATGGGTGGAGGGGACTGAATTAGCTCTCTCCAAGGTCTTCCAGCTCTAAAATTATGACTGTCACCCATCCTGCCCCAGAAATTTTATTTTCACTTACAACTTTTCTTAAAGTGGGGGCATACCCTTATTTGTAATAAGGTTAAAATATCAAAGGGGGCAAAAGACACACATTTCTAATCAACTTGAACTACGCATATCTGTTAACTGCATAATCTCATTTACTCGGTTCCAACACCCAGTGTCTATCAACAGACTTACCCAATGACACCAAGCTAATAAGTGTCTGAGCTGGGATTCAAACATCTGTCTCTTGGTTGCAGGTCCAGTACTCTTTCCACTAAACAGCTTACAATCTAACCAAACCGGCCTTCTGGCTGTTCCTCAAATGTGCTTGTTTCCACCAGCTTTGTATTGGCTGTCCTGCACACCTAGAATACTTTGGCTCTTCACTCCTGACTCATGAAATAAATCCCTCACTTCCTTTAAGTTTCAGGCTTCTGCATGAAGTCTCTCCTATATAGATATGTTTCCTTTTGCAGAATGTAAGCTCCTTCAGAGAGAGAATTTTAAAATTTTTGTCTTTGTGTCTTTGGCACTTAGTACAGTGCCTGGCATATGGTAGATATTAAATAAATGTTTCCTGACTAACTGACACACCATTCTTACTCAAAAAAAGATAGATTTAATCAGAATTGGAAGGGAGAATAAACACCACCTAGTTCAATTCATAATAGACCAAGAAGTCTTTCTACAACTGCGTGCTAAAATAGTCATCCAGCTTATATATTTGAAGAGTCAGTAAAGTACATGGTATAACTAAACCACAAGATGGCAATAATGTTGATAGACACTGGGTGTTGGAACCAAGCAACTGATATTTTGCATCTATTAAAAAGGGGGGGGGGCAGACCAGATGGCTTCTCAGGTTATTTCCTGCTTTAAAATCTATGATGCCATGAACGAAGAAGAACCCACTCTCATCAGAGGCCTTTCAGACAATTCTAATGGTTGGAAAGATTTCTCCTATGTTAAGCTGAAATCCCCTTTTCTCCTCCAAGTTTTGCTCTTTAGGGTCAAATAGAATAAGTCTATAATCTCTCTTGTACAAGGACAGACTCAAATATTTGTTCCTCATGTCCGTCCAAGGTGTCTTTTCTTAAAGCTAAACACCCCCAATTCCTTTAATTGATACTTTCCTGACAACACTGTGAAGCAGGGAATGTAGTTATTAATATTCCCTTTTACACAGGAAGTAATGGAGGCTCAGAGGGTAAAATGACTTGATCATGTTTAATCAGCTGATAAATGCCAAAGCAAAGATTCAAACTCAGGACTCTGAAACTGTGGGGCAACCAAAGGAAGGCAACCAGGATAATGAGGGGAACAGGAAATAACATGCAAAGACAGGCTGACATTTAGGATGGATAAGAATAGGACCATGTCCTGAATACGCTAATAGTTGTCT